TATATGACATTATGCTACATGATATTAGTCAATTACAATAGACAAATGTTGCATAATATTGCTAGTTTCAACAATTATGAAAAGTTGAAAAGTTTTCAAACTAAAATAAGCATTCTGAATGTTTACCAGGGGTGGGGGTACAGGGGCAGTGAAATATTTAATGTTTCTCTTTAGTCCAAGTCTCTGTAACTCCCACCAAATAACCTTTCCTGCATGGGTCTGGGTAATAAGATGCTGAAAGTTAGAGGATCCATCTGCCTGTTAACAGGTTGATTCGATTGCCATTCTGCTAAGAAGGGGGATCAGATTTCACTACCCACAACATCCAGGAGTAGAGTGTGTCCTCTGGACCCCCAATTCCTTGTCGAGTGTACTTCCTGGATCCACAAGACAGCTGTGATAGCAGAGGGGCGGCAGCAGAACTAGGAGCCAGAACATAAAACAGAGTGCTTGTTTTCCCAGACCACAGTGCTCTGGGGCAGGAGGCTGGCTTGTGTGATGGGGCATTCAATTGAGGGGGCTGGGCTTGCTGACTCAAGAAGGTAGAATTGAGTGCCTTCAAGCTGTAGCTTACTGAATGGGGTGCTTCTGGCCTCTTCATTAGGAGAGATGCATGCGCTGACCCACAGAACTTGAGCTGAACGCCTTTGGGTTGCAGCATACAGTAGAGTGGCATGCCCTTGGGCATTTATTAGCAGTTCTCAAAAAAACTTTGCACCATGTTCTGACTGAACAACTATATCTTGAGCACTTCTCACTTGCATTGTAATATGTTAACTTCCTTAATAAACTCCTTAATAATGAATAATGTTTGTGAGTACTGTATGATCATTGCAATGAATTATAGAATCTAGATGACAAAGTAGAGACTATTGTATGTGAGATAATACAAAGACGGAAAGATTAGAAAATAACTGGATAGAGAGTAGACACATGTTCACCTGGATGAAGGGAAACGCAAAACAATCCTACCAAGGTTCAAAAAGTGAAGGCGACAAGGGTCACTGGGAAGAGTGCAAGAGTTAAAGGCAATGGGAGTGAATACTGTTACATACACAACCTTGCAATAATGGTGATCTGCAAGTGGATTCACAGACCGACACATGGGCTGGATGAGTATTGGAGGGATAGTGGGAGTATAAATATGAATATATACAGGTTTCGCAAAAGATATTTGTACATGGGCATTTGCTTTTGCTGCAACTATGTCCATGAATAGTGGTAGAACATATTAATCTCATTCCCATGAAGTCGATTCTGATTCATGGCGACCCTACAGGACAGGGTAGTCCTGCTCCTATGGGTTTCTGAGACTGTAACTCTTTCCGGGAGTTAAAAGCCTCATCTCTCTCTCCCACGGAGTGGCTATGGGTGTAGAACTGCTGACCTTATGGATCAGAGTCCAAGGTGTAGCCACTACCCCACCACAACTCCTGGTAGAGCAAATGGGGAAATTTTACCCCAAAAATGTTTTAGATATATTCTAAGCCCTTGAGAGATTGATTTGGTGGGCCTAAAGACTAAGGACCATAGTTTCAAAGAACTCCTAGGTCAATTTAAATAACAGTCCACAGAGATCATGTTTTACAAGCTACTTCACTGAGTAGCAACTGGGATTTTAAAAGCTGATGAGCAGATAACTATGTTGCAACTATTGGCTTCTTCCTGTCCAGAGGAAAGGGTGAAGGCAATCAAAGATGTATGGAAATAATTAGCCTAGTGGACTAATGGACAAGATGAACATTCGTTTCCACATGCTTGAAAACAGAATTTGATGTCCCACTACTACTGACAACTGTTCTACACAGGATCATAATGGAAGGTCCTGGATAGAGTGAGAGAAAAACGTGGAACAAAAGTCAAAATCATAAAACAGACCAGGCTGACTGGTTCTGTAAAGAGTGGTGTAACCCATGAAAATATGAGCCTTCATTCACATTTAAGTCTGGAAAAATACTTATACCCATGCCTCAATTTTCAGCCTTAGAAAACCAAAGGGGACACTTCTACTCTGTCTGATCAGGTTGCTATAATCTGAAATTGACTTTTTGGCATAGACAATGATATAGAAGTGTATTATCTGAACCCCAGTCTGTAAATTAGTGTTGTATAATATACCAACATATATATATATTATTACATATTAGTGGAGAAAATCAGAAAAAAATAGGATAGATGCCACTCTGAATTTATTTTGTTCTTTATATGAAAATAAGAAGCCCAGATAGCACTGTGGATTAAACATTAAGCTGCTATCTGCAAGGTCAGAGGTTCACTTCCACTCTGGAGACAGTGATGAAGCTGTCTACTCCCATATTTACAATCTCAGAAATTCTACATAGAATTGCTAGGAGTTAGAATTGACTTAATGACAAGGTGTTTGGTTTGGCTCTCTCTCTCTCTCTCTCTCTCTCTCTCTCTCCACACACACATACACGTGTGCGCACACGCAAGCTTCAAAAAGTTAATGGAATATGAATTGAAAGTTGAATTGAAGGATAATTTCACATAGGCCTGTGCATGTATTTGCTGCCTGAGATAGATAGATGATAGATAGATAGATAGATAGATAGATAGATAGATAGATAGATAGATAGATAGATAGATAGATAGATAGATATAGATATCGATGATATAGATATAGAGATAGAGATAAAGATATAGATATATATACTGTGTGTGTGTGCATACCATTGTGCTTAGGTGCTGTGGAATCCATTGAGACTCAAAGGAACCCAGTCTCAAACAGAATGAAACACTGCCAAATAAAGTATCATGGTTGATCTCATTGTTTCAGGCCACAATGTCAATCCAGCTACTTGAAGGTCTTCCTCTATTTACCTGAATCTGCTCTTTACAACATTTGATGGCCTTTTCTAGAGACTTTCCCCTCCTGAAACCATGTTCAAAGTATGAGAGACAGTCTTGTCATTCTAGTTTCCAAAGAGTGACCTAAGTTTGCTCCTCCATAAATGTACTTGTTCATTCTTTTGGTAGTCCCTGGTGCAGTCAACACTCTATGCCCACACCATCATTCAAAAGCAACAATTCCTCTCTGGTATTCCTTAATCATGGTCCAATTGTTCAAAGGATGTGGGGTGATAGAAAATATACTGGCTTGGATCAAGGACACCATAGTCTTATGTTCTTTAACACTTTACAGAGGTCTTCTTGTCTATCTTAGTCTGTATGCCATGCTGACACCCACCCACCCTGAGTGGCACTACTGTTATTTAAAATGCCAGTGGGCTACCTTCAACATCATATCCATATGCATGCCACCATGGTATGATATATTGATACAGGATTAGTGGCATAGACAAACATGCTTATGTGAGTAGATAGTCACAAATCAACAAAACACAGCAACCATCCTATGTGAAACAGGGTTATTAACCTATAATATATTGTGCCTTGAAAAATAAATTACTCAGAACATGTATGACTATGGTAACATCACTATGGTAACAATTAAGGTGTCCAGCATGCATCCCTAGGGTCAAAACTCAGATCTGTTTGCTCTATTAATAATTAAGTGAAAATTAAAGCATGAATAACCAGGTTGAATTATTATTCTAAGTATGAAAAGAAAGAATTTGATTATTATAATTAATAAAATATAATTGAAAAGTAGCTTTTACACTAGTGAATAGAGCTTTAACATTCGTGAAAAGAAAAATATAGAATTTTAACTTTAGTGAAAAGAAACAAAATGATTTAAAAAACAAATTTCATCTTCTGCAATAGTATCTCAGCTTTACCTTGGAAACATTGACAGTGAGCAGACAAATGAAGAATATATGACTTTTACATTTCTCTAAGTTAATATCCCAGGGATGGAAGTGAAGAAAATGTTATTTTCTCCAAAGAAAATAATACAAAGTACTTAGAGTAAAGCCATTTATTTGTGCTTCCCAGGAGAACAGCACTGCAGTATGCAAAGCGACCAGTCTCACTCAATGTTGCTCGGGTAGTACAGTTACTTTGTCTAGTCATTCTTGTCCTGAACAATGGTAAACATCAACACTGCACTCACAGAAGAAGAAAGCAGGCCACCCTTATACATTTTCAACTTTACAACCCACATTGACTGTCACTGGTAGTGATCATTTAGTAACACTGGCCCATCGGATTTAATGACATGCAGCTTAAAGTTGGGTTTATTTTTAAAGTTTTTACCTCAAACACTTCTTCATCCAGGATCCTTGTTCCAAAAACAGTGATTCCATTGGTATCCACAATTGCTCTCTCACTTCTATCAAGCGGTTTTGTAGTTTTCTTTTTACAATCAACAATCATTGTAACTGTTTTCTTCTCCACGCTGATGGCTACCCGATGCCACCTAAGAAAGCCAAGGAGATTTCCTGTGAGCTCCAAAGAGATAGGCTGCCGAGTCACCGTTCATATAGAAACAGTGGAGTATATTTTAACTTGTAAAGGTGAGCCAACATGGTATTAAAATGAAGGTTCATAAATTACTCAGTTAACAGGTTATCACATTGTGTTTACCTTTCACAGTGCTAGGCTTGCAAAAGAACACAATCAGTATAAAATGCACGGAAGGATGTTGATAAGAATTCTTTGCTTTGCTTTTTAAGGTTGCAACAAAGGCTGAATCTCACCGTGTCCTGATGAGGGTATTTGATAGAGATTAGAGAAGGATATGAAGTAAGTAATAGTTTCCATGTACGTAAATGCTTTCATCCAAAGTGGA